GGAAAGATTTTATCACTTTAGAACTGAACAGTAACAAAAATCAGTATTCTGGACTAGAGTCAAAATGATATGCCAGTATTTTGTCCAAAAGCAACAATAAATAGATAACACATAAATTTAAATAATGATACTAAAAGATTGTGAAATGTATACATTTGGATATTAACAGCATATCCAATCTTTTACCATCTCAGAAATAACAGAACATAGTACCTAGTGAGCAAGAATGGTTACTTGAATTGATAGAAACCAGGCAGCTCACATCACCAATAACATCTATCTGTGAATCACAACATGAATTAAAGAGTTAATTTCAAACTGCCTTTCTTGTTGCTTTGTCCATGCACCAAAATTGCTAGATCTGCTCCTTGTTCTCACCCANGCCTTTCTTGTTGCTTTGTCCATGCACCAAAATTGCTAGATCTGCTCCTTGTTCTCACCCAGTGCCTTTTTCATACTCTATATCACTCTATGTCTTGAGAAGGAGAAAGTTAAAAACTTGAATTTGTAGCTCATGACACCCCATCTCTACCTCCTAACAGACATTCAAACTGAGATTACAATAAGGGATAACAGAAGCACAGACTAAATATCTCTGTTTATGCCCATGTATCTCTGCCTTCAGCTCTTTCTTCAAATAGAATTTTTCACTTAGCGTTGATATGAAAGTGCATGTTATTATGTTTAATGCATGTCAATAATACATTTTTTAAATATATAATTTTCTAGAAAACACTGTATCAAGTAGGCAGCAAAAGCAGTTCACTTTAAATCACCAGTATCACTTTATGTGGATTCCTTTGGGCTGAAACCAGATTCTTAGTTTAGTACAGTTTCATTTAGATTTGGATTATATTATAGTAATTTCCTTGCACCTAATATTGTGCCTTGAAAGGAGTACAAAAATTTTTTTTTCAAATGTTGATATATAAAAAATATGTTGTCAATAAAAAAAAGTTAACTTGTAGAACTCAGTGAAGACAGTTTTTACTGGGTAGACTATAGATTGGCACAGGATAGGCAGTACTGTGCAATGGTTAACTCATAAGATACACAGCCTGAGTTTGAATCCTGAGCTCACAGGCTCCACAAATTCCCTGTATCATTTGACCCTGCAGGGTTTTTTGGGCATTTTTTTTTCCATTCCCTTGGCTTGCCCGTCTTTGAACTCTCCTGGTTCTCCTCCTCTTCCTCCTTTTCTACTCTGTCTCTGATGAACGCCCCTACAAGTAGACATTTTCAAAACAATAGGGTAAAATGTAGAGATACTTCCCAAGGTTCTCTCTTCAGGTCCCTCCTCTTCTTTCTGACTCTTTCCTCACCAGGAAGTGCTCTCTATACCCACAGGCTGCAGCTGCCCATTTGCCACCTAGAGGTATCAGGCAGCCCAGCTAGGCAGTCACCTTTCACGATGCAGCAGGTACCAGTAGAGACTGGGGAGAGCCCGGAGGCAGTAGGCAAATCCACCAGACCAAAATATCTCTACAAAGGACAACTTAATGTTCATTTTTTTCAAAAATCATAAGCCACAAAAGTAAGCCAGGACCTGCATGCTAAACCTAAACAGTGACTGCCTCATAAAATAGAAGATTTGGGATTTAACATAATAGCCAAAATGTCCAGAATATAACCAAAAATCACTTGTCACACTAAAAATGAGAAAAATTAGAGTTTGAGTGTGAAAAGACAAGAAACAGATGCCAACACTCAGATGATTTAGATGTTGGAATTATGTGAGAAGAATTTCAAAGTCACCATCATAAAAAATGCTTCAACAAGCAATTACAGATGGCTTTGAAACAGATGAAGAAATAGAAAATATTGCCAAAGAAATACAAGATATAATAAGGAACCAAATGGAAATTATAGAACTGAAAAATGCAGTAAACTCAATCTCACTGGAGAGGCTCAGTAGCAGAATGAATATGACAAAGGGTGGATCAGTGAACTCAAAGATAAAACAATAGAATTCATCCATCTGATGAGAGAAAACAAACTTTAAAAAGTGAACAGAACCTGAGGGCCTACAGCACAATGACAAAAGATCCAACACTTGTTTTATCAAGGTCCAAGAAGGAGAGGATAAAGAGAGTGGAGCTGGGGAAAAAAAATGTTTGAAGAAATAAAGGCTGAAATTTCCTAAATTTGGCAAAGACATAAACCAACATATTCAAGAAGCTGAGTGAAACCCAAACAGGATAAACCCAAAGAAACTCACATCAAGACACATCATAATTAAACTTCTAAAAACTAAAGACTAAGAAAAAAATCTTGAAAAAAACCAGAGAGAAACCACCTAGAGGACAAAAACTATTCAAATGACAGCAGATTTCTCATTTGAAACCATGGCAGTCAAAGGGATGTGGTATTTTTTCAAGTGCTGAAAGGAAAGATCTACCAACCCCAAATCCTACATCCAGCAAAAATACCTTCAGAAATGAAGGGGAAATGACATTCTCAGACAAAGGGAAACTATGGGAATTTGTCACCTGCAGACCTACCATTAAACAATGGCTAAAGAAAGCTCTCTGAACAAGAAGGAAATAATAACAGTAGAAGGCTAGGAACTGCAGAAAAGAAGAAAGAACAATGTATTAAGTATTAACTAATTGATTAATAGACTATCCTCTCATGATGACTGAATCAAAAATTATAACTCCATTTGATTTGATGCTCAATGTATAGAGAGACAATTGCTTTTAAGAAGTTGTTAGGGAAAAAGGACCTAAATGGAAGTGAGTTTTCTTTACCACACTTGACGTGGTAAAACCTCTACACCAGCAGACTGTGATAAGTTACATATGTATATTATAGTACCTGGAGCAACCACAAAGAAAACTATA